TCATGGTTCATTATTTATTCAGTGTTTTCATAACAGTTAATATTGCTTAACACAGTGAAATGATTTAGTACTTACAATAGGCTGTTGCTGTAGCACAGTTCGTTCCAGGTCGCCTTGCTCCCAGAATTCATTTGCGACCATGAGGGCGACCTGAAGAGGTACAATTCAATGAAATTGTGAGCAGAAAATAGTAAATTTAAATAAATAGAACAAGGCTTTCCATAAAATGTGAAAAGACCTACAGACACTCTCTGCTGTACCTAAAGTTTTTCCCATAAAAATTATCACTAGCAATATTTTGATGCATGCTGTAAATAACAGGTTATTGCCTACAGAAACAAGGCAACATTAGCAACATAAATCTTGTAATACCTGTAATGTGTATAACTTAAAAGAACAAGTATTTGCAGTTGTATTTTGATTATGCTTTGTTAAAAAATATTCCTGTAAGGCTAAGTGATGAGCTTTAGCAGGATGGTCAATAATACTGGAGCACTTGAAGTACTTATGTAGCACTCTGTATTACAGAATTTTTGTGTGTTTAAGCTGCTTTGCAATGGCACCAAGATCTACAGAATAGACACAATTCAAGCCATACTGTTGTTAAACCTGTGCCTTAAAAATAGCTGGAAAGTAGCAAAAGTTGTCTAGCAAAGAAATAATTGAGTGATATTTAAGGGTAGCTAGAACAGCTGCCAGAATCAGCGGTGCCACTTTTAGTGGAAGCACAATTAGAGAAGGGCTGACAGCTGCAGAGTGTTTGACCACCTACACTCACAGTGACAGAAAGGTGGAGGTTCTTTTCTGGAAGCAACAGGTACTTAAATATGCATCAAGTAATAATAAGTTAATTTTTTAATTCATCATGCACCAAATGGGTAATAAAACAAAGAGTAAATGCAGTATTGTCTACTTCAAAAGTACCTACCTTACTCTGCACTTCCCAGGGCTTGGTTATTGCAGACAGGTCACATCCAGTCATCATCATAGCCCTTTGAAAACAAAATCCAAAACAGGAGTATAGTTTTGGGTGTCAGGAAGATGGTACTAGACTCTTTTCAGTGCTGCCCAATAACAAGGTGAGGAGCAATGGCAATAGACTAAACCACAAGAAGTTCCATCTCCATGTGAGTAAGAACAAATATTCATTGAGGGTAGAAGAGCACTGGAACAGGCTACCCAGGGATGTTGTGGAGTCTGTCTGGAGACATTCAAAACCTGCCTGGACCAGTTCCTGTGTAATGTACTCTAGGTCACCCTGCCTTGGGAGAGGGGTTGGACAGGATGATCTCCAGGGGTCCCTACCAACCCTAACTATCCAGTGCTAGGATGATTATTTAAAAAAAAAAAAAAAAAAAAAAAAGTCTAGGTGTTAAGGAATTTAAGATGCCAAATGAATTAATATTTTGCACATTTTAAGAAGATTTTAGGCATCAGTCTCTAAATTAAAATGATGGTTGTGCTCATCATTGGACAACAACTAAGTCTGAATTTGCATGTTTAGCAGCCCAAATTCTTTTAAAATCTAGTCCTAGATAATTGATTGAATAAGGAGTAAAATATTAACCACCTACATGATGACTTCTTTTTTCGTTGGGTCGATAGATATATACTTAATTGCCTGCTCTTCTGATTCCATTTTTTCAATTGCATCCACAATCTTTTGAAACATAGTTCTTTTCCTGTTAAAACAAACCAAGAAAGCATATATTACTGAATGTGAGTTCCTGCATTAAAAATAAAATATAAAATCATATTTATGATATTTTTGCTTTTTCCAAGTACCATCCTAGTCATAGTAGTATCAAAGTAATACTTCCCTGCTGTTGAATGGAAATTTTTCAGGTAACCCAGACACTTTGATTTTGTTACATACCACTGGTATGTGAAATAGTATGTCAGAGTTCCTGACAAAGAAACAACCAATTTCCTACCTCTTCAGATTAAACTCTTTGGGGTGACATTCTTATTTTTTAGCATTACACGTTCGTTACTTCCTGTAACATACTGAATTGGGAAAAGTGAAGCAAATACTAATAGATGCTCTATCACTCCCTCCCACCAAAAATCCTGAGTTACTAAGACCTGACTGAAAAGAACTATCAAAAACATAAGCCTGTCTTGCTACTGCTTCATAAATCTTCTACTTTGTGGTTTGAATGAATGAAATAATGGAATTACTCTTCTCTAAATCTTGATAACTGCTATTAAACAATTTCCTGAATTTTTACCTGTCTTCTGTCTTTAAATTGTCCCAGTCATAAAACAAAAGTCTTCACATATCTTTAAGGAAGATACCCATTATTAAAGCGCACTAATTCACTAACTTAAGAACAGAATTGATAGTTTGAAATTTGGAGTCTTTGGCATATTTAGCACTGGGAACAGTGGATGTCTGACAGGATGTTTTAATTTTCAGCATGCTCCTGCTTACTCTGTGTATCTGTTGTATGGTATATTAAATGTCGCACATGCACACAACATTACAATTAGGCTATTGAATGCAGACTTCTGGAATACAGTGCTTGCTGTAACTAAAAGTATGTTAGAATGACCTACTAAATGTATTATCTACTAAGTATTATATATATTCATGCATTCTCTAATTTGAAAGCTTATAATCCAACTGAGAATATCTTGGTTTTTGCAAGAGTTAGACTCAATGACAATGATAAATAGAGCTCTGTTCTCTGCATATAAATATCTTTGTATGCTGTAAATAAACAACTAAAAACTACAGTTATACATTCAATAGGACTGATTTTTTTCAGTAGGAAGTTATACAGAATTTAGTACTTACTTGAAATACAAAGCCAAGTCAGTTGCTATTATTGCAACTTCAAATAAATGCAGAACGGTTTCATACTGGCGCTTATTTAGGTTCTGGAAGATGTTTAAGCTCTGCAAGGTGGAAAGTTTACGATTTCAATTCCTTTCATAATACTGTCTTTGGTTTGTACTATACATATTATCTCAAATAGGGTAACAAAACTGGCAGACTAGTCCTTAAATTAAAATAGTGTTAAAATTAAAAATTCACATTCCATTAACCTAATTTTCCTGACTTTTTTAAAGCTTCCCAGTTCCCCTCTTTCCTGTTAAAGTGGGTTGGCACAGTTGCCTGCAGGAGTGTTTGGGATCTACCACGGTACGTGCAATGTCGTTTTCCTCAGGCAAATGGAATGAGACCATCATACAGCATTTTTTAAAGTGTCTTGATTTTATTTCCTTCTTTAACAGAGACACAAGGCCTGCATGATCCAGGGCACGGTGATGCTGGTGAGAGCCTCCAGAGGTCCTGCCAAATGCTCTGCCCCAGAGCAGGAGTCAGGCCCTGGCATCTCACATTTGACAAAGTACATTGCCATCAATAAAGGGAAAGGTTTGCTTGTTTTCATATCATAAACCTTTTAGGTTTTTTATTAACACAGTGCTACTGCTTAGCGTAAGGATTTATTCCGTGGCCTTGCCTTATGAGGTCAAGCAACAGCATCACCACAGGGATTAGAAGTGGAAAATGAGGGTGAAGTGGGTGCCTGCCCTTCTGCTGCAAACAAGAGATGGAAGGGGTGCATATGTGCATGCCCTGCTGCTAAGCCACCCTCCAAAATACATGGCAGAGAGTGTAAACAGTGTGTTTTGCAGCAGCCGGGCAGAGCCTGACGCCGCTAAGGGCAGCAGGGTGGCCGGTGTCCAGTGGAGGAGCCGGGCCCTGAGGGGCAGCTGAGCCTGGGGGTGCGGCGGGAGCGTCCCCCCACTGCTGGGGAGGGCAGCTGGGGAGGGCTGCCCATGCAGGGACATCGGGAACGGAGCTGCGGCAGAGCCTGCCATTCCCGGCCCTGTTAACCCTGAGGGGCGGCTGAGCCTGGATGGGCAGCTGGGGAGGGCTGCCCATGCAGGGACATGGGGAACAGAGCTGCGGCAGAGCCTGCCATTCCCGGCTTTGTTAACCAGGTCGGATGTGGGGCGGGTCTTGGTCTGAGGGACTCTCCATGAACATCTTTTGTTCCTCAGCTGAATTCAGACCTCATAAACCAGGCACAGCCGCTTAATGACAAGATTATATATATATATTACATTTTCTGCATTGGTTTCAATACCAGCTGTTTTGTGCAAACAGAAAAAACCTGAAGAGTGTTAGCAAGGCCCAGAGGAGAATCTTTTCTATCTGACGTGAATCTGTTCCAGGACAGAATCACTGATGTCTCTCTAAAAGTGGAAAATGCATAAGAATTTTTCTTAAACTTCTGAATTTTAGCATTTCATGTGTGGACCTAGAGAAATGCATGAGACCCAGTAAAATTTGGAACATTGTAACTTAATTGGATCTTCAGTGTTGACTGATGTGAGCAGAAGGTCCATGACATACCTCATCTTGCAGCAGGGTTTTACTGTACTCGAGGTGATGCCTTTCCAAAATGGAAGAGCCATGAAGTTTTGCCAGGGGAGCAGCTGACCTGTGGAAAAATAAGAAATTATTTAGAGCATAATATATATAAATATAATTTGAAGGCAATAGTTTTTATTCAGGTTTCATATTATTGGTATGATAGTATAATCTGTATAAATTACCCATTGGTATGATGCAGAGAAAAAACTCCAACTTGCTTCCCTTAATTTTTGTAACTGTGTAATGATGGAACTTGGAGAGCGCTGGGTGTCAGTGTCACTAAAGTCAAAGTCATTTTTAGATGCCTCAAAACTCAAAAACTTTGGTATTTAAAATATGGCTTCGTTTTGTCTTGCGTGTTCAGTTTTGCTGTTTGTTTAATCTATGCTCCTTTTAGGTACCTTAAAAGTAGCCTTTATCCATCTTTTAGTGTTTATTCTGCAGCATGGCTTGTACAGTCTGTAATGACTGGGCTGTGTGCCCTGGGATTCTAGTCAACTGTAACTTAAATCTGAAGTAACAGAATGTGCAGGTTTTGCACCACACAAAATAAGGGAGTTTAATTCCTCTAATGCTCTTGGGCTACTTCACTCCCCCAAAATTGCCTTTTTATGGGCAGCAAAAGTCCTGATAGCTCAAGTGTGTTCTGTTTTACCACAGGTCTTAAAAGCGTTCTGCTGATGTTGGACTAAGCTTCAAGAAGAGGAAATTCTACATCAGATTATGGTTTTGAGATGAAGGCAGAAGCATCTTACTTACATGGGCTCCAGGTAGTTCTACATGTTTGGAAGTGTATTTTCCTCCTTTTCCCCTTGGTTTATAGCTCTGTTTCCCAGATAATCCAAGGTGGATTGCTACATGGCACCCCTATTTGCTGATGTGATTAGGACTGTTGTGGTAAAGCCTGATGAGTTCTATAAATAGCTTTACTGCATATGACCTCACGCAGAGGGCTTTCATCTAGGGAAGACCACAGTGGAAAGATTACAACCCTCTTTAAACTTGTTTGGATCAGAGGCAGTCCATTGAATAAGAATCAGGATCTGTCATTCTCTTTCCTACGTCACCTGGAGAATCCCTGGGAATAATCAGAAAATCCCTTTGCGTCACTGCTCTAGCACACAGGCTGAAAAGGCTGAAATGTGAGCAGTGGACTCAGGGTCAGAAGGGTAGGATCAATCACTCTGGAGATAGGGTTGGTGGAAACTAGCCAGAAAATGGTAATCTTCTGATACATTCTAAGAATGTATGATGACATTCTAAGAAATGTGTTCTCTGGCTAGCACATGGAAACAAGCCCATGCAGATCACATAAAATACTAAATGGTAGGGTATTCACACCTCAGGAGAAGAGTGAGTGTCACCATGATACATAATGTTTTAATACAAGGGAAAATTTAAGTGAATTTTTTTTTTTTTTCATAACAAACAAGGTAAAAATCACAAAGAAATCCTTTAGACTATTTTCTCAGGATGTATTACAGCATGAATTGCAAAGCTTGAGCCTCATGATGTGTTAACTTCTGGGCCTGTGGACCCAGCAGTAGAACTCAAGCTTGTTGACTCAGACTTTTGTATAACATAGGAGATTACATCTCAGGAGAGGACCTATATCAGGAAACTGAGTGTGGGGAAGAACAGCTGAACTAGTCAAATTAGACAGTGGAAAACAGAAAAAAATTCTGTTTCACTCTAGACTGTCTATATCACATCTTGAATCACTTTCCAGAAAAGTGCTTGTGCCCTGTCTTGAAAAAGTAATCCAATTACAGATTTTAATTTACTTTACTAATTTTTTTGTGTCCTCATGCACATGAAGCTCTGTCTGCTACAATCCAAGCATTGCTAGAGTTTTAAAAAGCTAGAGTCTTAAGAATGGATTGCAGCTTCAGGAGATCCTTCTAAGATTCTGCCTTTGCATTTTGTCTTTGTGTTTCAGCTGCCTGAAGTGCTCTGGGGCAGAAATCTTCTGTAGCATAATTATTTATTCATGCCAGATGAGTATGGAATAGATACCTTATATTCTTGCAAGTTTTGACGTTTTAAAATTTGCTTTCCACTAAAGGGAGCACATTTCCTTATATTTGATCACTTATACTTACTTCATTTGATACAGGTTATTGGTCCCTCTGTGATCAATGTCATGGCAGAAAGCAGCAGCAACCATGGCAAAGGCTTCTAAATCAGTATAGTATTTCTTTATTTTTCCTGTCTGTAAAAGAGAACAGATAACTCTGAGCATGTGTGTTCCTGAATTTTCCATCTGGAGTTGAAAGAATACTACTAGTTAATGAATTTGGGGTTAATATTAGCAGCATTACCATCAGCAGAGTAAACATTGTTTGTCCCACATTGAATCCATGTCTCCAGTTGTGGTAAGTGATATCCCGATAACCTTTCCTGACTGTGTACATCCATCTTGTAAGGACCTGTTGGGAACAAAAGGGAACAGACAATTAACAGCTGTTAATTGAAACAGAACCAAGGAACTCCCATTAAATAACTAGAATATACTATGAAATTCTAGAATATACAATGATTTTTTTAAATTTTGCAAGTTCTTTGAAAAAAAATGTTTTTCATTAAATTAAACATAGAAACAGCAAATTTTTCTAACATAAATGCATGTGGATTTAATTCCTTACCTATCTTACACAATGCAGGATTAATTTGATGTTTTTCTGACAAATATGTTTCATTGAGAATGGAATATTGTTAAACATACCATTAATATTTCAGTATTGCCTACTTCTAGATTAAAGCATGTAAAACCAGATATTTTTCTTCTATTTAAAAGTAAATATAAACAAGAAAAATAAACCAGACCTCAGCTGGGACTTTGAATTTTTCAACAACATTTATCTCAAAGAACAGTCGTATTCCACAAGTTATCAGGCCATGCTCTGTAACAGGGAAGTCACTGAAGCGGAATTCATACAGTTCTAAATCTTTTGGATCGGGTAATTCTTCTTTCTGTTAGGAAATAACAAAAACAAGGGGTTTTCTGTCAAGAACAAAGATGGAAAAGCTTTTTTAATTTTCTTCAGTAGAAATACTGTTCAAGGACCGTATGCTTATTATGTCTTCAAAGGTCTCAGGTGTCAGTATGAACTAATGTATATTAAATTATGAAATACAATCATGATACTGCTGGCTTTCTTCTCAAAATTAGTAGATAAAACCCTTGGGCAATTCCTACTCTGAATTCCAACAAAATGTGTTGTAACCTTCTCAACATTTCCTTAGTTTAGAAATCTTGGTCCTTGGAAATTGTTTTCCTTGGTATAAAATCCCATGATTCTCCCACTTTTAGCCTGATCTCAAGGCTACATTAATCTTTTTTCTCAGCCAAACTAAAATTGCCTATTTTGTATATATGATACAGAGTCACACTGAATAGCCTAACTGGTAATAGTGCTATTAGTGAACTGTTGTCTAGCACTCTTCATCTCTCTCAAAGCCTAGAGAGAGCAGCATCTGATTTTAAAGAGTGTGTTCCAATCCAAACAAGAATTCATCAAGGAAGTCTGATACAACACAAAAATAGCTTATATTATCACAATTACTCCCTCCTCAGTAGTCTATAAAGGATCTTCTCTTTATAAAGGAAAAATACAACTGAATGCACGCATATATTTCAACAAATAAGGCTGATCATCCCTTTCCTTCTCCCTGGGTTTTTCCTTTATATCTACGCAGATCTGAGATCAAGGACAAAGAAACCTAGACCAGTGTTGTTTTAAGACCCATTACTTGGTGAATCATCAGATGTAGAAACACCTGCTTTATCCTATTAGTTATCTGGGATTCCAGGTCTTATAATAGGATAAAGCACTTGCATGTAGCCTTGGCAGTGCAGAAGATATTAGACCTTTGAATTTGTGACTCCACAATGTTGAAAGAACAAATTCGTTTTTGTAGATTTAAAAATTCTGTATCAGAATAATCAGGTTTTGCTCTACCCATGGGAAAATTTTACAATGTCTATTATTTTTTGAATGTTGCTAAATTAAATTTCCTTTAAAAGGCATGTGAAACTACACACTGTCTGTTGATGTTTTTTTTCACCACTTGCAAGCTGTGTGAGCATCTGTTGTGTGGAAGCCAGTAAAACATGAACACCAATGCATTCCAGCATGCATGTATACATAATTAAAAAGAGTTTAAGGAGATCTTTTCCCTATGGCTATGTGTACATTAGCAAATGTGGTATAATAGGAGGAAACATGTCAAGTGGTTGGTACTGGAAGTCAACAGATTTGTGTGTATTTTGACCTTTTTCCTTCAACCTAGCTCTGTTTTGATCCATTAACAGTGGAAGTTCATTCAGTGTTTTCATTCAGAGCACATCTTTCCTCTGAATTTGAGGCTTTTTCTGATAAAGTAAGGCAATTCATGTGCTCCAGGACTGTTGAAGTGCACTAAATGGGCAAAAATAGGAGCTTTCTTTCAAAGACAATGCCTTTCTAGATTGAAGTACTAAGGCAGCCAGAGGACTGCACTACAAACTCATTTTTGTTTTAGTAGTAGCAGAGTAGTAGAGCAGAGAACTCATTAGGCCAAATATGTTTTGTCTCTGTGGAGTCACAGGTCACTGTCTTTAGACCACTCTACCTACAGAAATGCAGGAAAAAATAATCTGAAAGTAAATTTTTTCCACTGGACATGCTACCTACATTCTCTTACCTACAATGCAAGTATCCTCACCACAAAAAATATTCCTTTCTTTTATTTTCAGAATTAAATACATTAAATTCAGTTATAGATATAGCATTTTCCCTATGAATATTTTGAGAAATGTAACAATTTAAATGTTAATTAATATAAAAATGTTTATGTGACTGTGACTGTCCAAGTGTCTTAATGTACATTTGTGAGAGAATGCTTCCTTTGGGTAGCAGTGGGGTCTGCACAAAGAAGGACAGAAGAGGGTGAAGATGTGCTACTAAATCAACTCTATCTAGCCTGTGGAATTGATAGCTAACATTGATTGTATTCATCAGGATTTCACCATACACAACCTTTTCTATGATGAGGGCACATTACTCTGTGATATAAATACATCCCCTGAATTTTCAGTTTAATGACTTACCAAAATCCTGATGAGATCCTTTTGATCGCATTCATCTAAACTTTTTGCATTCAATTTCTCCTTGTATTTCTAAAAATGAAAAAGAGTAAGAAAATTCAGGTTTTGTATAGTAAGTGTCCTGTTTTAATTTTGTGGCTGTGGACAGAAACTTACCAGGATAGATTCAACTTCAGCAGGGGTGGCCTTTGTCTGGTACATAAGCATTTCCTGAGCAATGTCTTTCCTGTTTTCAAGTTTGTTCATTTTGTCATAAGTGTCAGTATTTAAAACAGACCACCCCAGGAACTGTGTGAGAGTCTGCAACAAAGTCAAGTAAAGCAGAGATGATGCCATGACAACAGAATGAACGTGAAAATTTGAACTTCGTTTTCTTCAAGTCCCATTTCTGTAAGTGCCCTTTGAAAAGCAAGGTACCACTCTACTTGTTAGAGGCCTTTATCTTCCTTCAGCCAGTTCTGCTAGCACTCACAGCTTCTAATGACATTTGGCTCATTAAGTAATTAATATTCCCATTTTCTATACAGGACTTTGAGGCTTATGAAGCTTAAGTCAAGTGGGTGGACTTGGGTACACTGTGTAGCATCTTACCTTGCCTGAGTGCATGCGATTATGAATGCTCTGTGAGCTCCCATGGTCACATGGACATGCTGACCATCATTAAAAAGTCAAAGGATTAAAAGTAAAATTATAAGCAACTTTTGTTTATTGCTGGAATGTAAATGATCACTTAAAAATTTTCAGTTTTATAAAGCGAGATAAAATCTCAGATTCTTAAGAAACTGCATTGTGAAGAAGATAGACTATTGGCTAGATGTTAATATGGCCTATTTGAAAAATTTTGACATATAAAAATGACTTTTTACTGCAATATTTTAACATCACATATCTCCTCAAACCCTTTAATCCTATTAAGCTTACTTCAGTGATCTGTTCATCATACTCGTCAAAAGGTTTTCCATCTTTCCTGTTGTAAAACGTTGCAACTCCCACAATTTCTTCTTTTTTGTTGACAATAGGCAATGACAAGACATTTTTGATAACCCATCCTGATTCATCCACTGGTCCTTTCTGTAGGAAAACCAAAAACCAGGAAATGTGTATTTCTTTGAAAGTAATAATACAGCTATGGACATAAGCAATGTAACAAAAATATTTTTTTGTGCATCACAATCAAATGAGAAATTATTTATAAAATTATCTGTATAACCTATTAATGACAAGCACTAGAATATTTTTCTACAAAATTTATAATTATTAACATTACTGAATTTACCTGAAATGTGAAGTATTCATCTGCTGGTGCATTCATCATGTTACAAATCTACAGCATAAAGAAAATGACACATTGTTGAAATGGAATATAATGTGCATCAAAATTTGGTCTAATAATTTTTAAAGGAATATTTATTTTCTAAGCCAGCAATAGAAAGCATCCTAGCTAGCTACAGAAACTAAAACTGTTCCTCTTAAATTAGATGTGCTTGTTCTAACAGACATAATTTTGGAACATTTGTAGCAAAGTCCCTCAGTGTCTCACAGTGCAAAAGCATAGTGCTTAAGAAAATCACTTCCAGTTTAAAATGGCATGGGGGTTTCTAGAAATAAATGAGTACTAAGGGCTCTATTAAAAATGTTACAGGGTTACCCATAGCTGTCATACATCCTGACTTTGAATTACGTATGTCTATGCAAGAAGATATAGGAAATTAAGAAAAATTTAAAACTTTGCATGTGATGATTTTCTTGCTTTGACATTTTTTGTGACATTTAGCACACCAGGAAAGTGACATCAGACACACATATTGTTCCTCTGATATAATCACAATCTGAGAGAAATTATCCTGCCATTTTCACCATTTGTGCTGATGCTTTGCCTGCAGCCAAATACTGATTGAAATTATTTCACTGGAAGCATCATAGTATTTTTGTAGAAAATTTTGGTCATGGGGAGGTTTGGGGGGTTTTTTGTTCAGTCAGATGATTTAAAATGCTAGTTTTTAGTTTTGCTATGAACTTACAAGACCATTTTCAGCCACATATGTTGGCAATCCACTGACAAGACACCAGTGATCTGGAGGAGGCGACCTTTTGAGAGACAATGAAATTAATTTATTTCTATGATGTAGGCATTCTATTCTATCCCAGAAATGTTTAATTACCACATATTCATCATCTGCCAGTGAATACTCACGGAATGACTTTGATTTCTTCTTGTCCATGTAACAGATAGTCAATAATCTTATAGAAGTTGACTTCCTAAATAAAAATAAAAAAACATCTAGGTGACTTGTAGAACTTCAGTATCAAACTTAAGATTCATAAAAAGAAAAATGAACATCCTCACTCGTCCATCAGGTGTCTTGGGGCCTTTGTAAGGCTCTGCCTCCCCCAGCCGGATTGGCCACTCGTCGTAGAACTCCTGAGAAAATGACACACAGGGAAAAAGGAAAAAACAAATCAGTTCTGGGTTCATAGATAACATCACATCTGTGTATTACAGATTGATTTTGATTTTTATTTCTACTTAGCTTACAATGGTGATATTTCAGATAGTATTAAGAAAACATTGGTAATTATATTCCAGACAAGAAGTGCTTGCCAGCTAATTGCAGGCTAATCTTATCCCTAAATAGTTGCACAGCTTAATTGTTCTTTTAGCAGGTAGATGTTTCTAAAGCAATAATCAGACCTGCACCTCCACCCTTTCTGTGTGGAATTATGAATAAGAAAAATTATTTCAGAATTGGTCTTTATGTTTATTTTGGTCGTATCCTTTGCGATATTTATATTTTGCATGTAATCTCTGTAACATTGTTAGGTTTTAAATAAATTATCCCCAAGAGTTAGAAAGCATGGGAACTTTGTGTCTTGGAGGCTTCAGGTTAGGAGTTTCTAGCAAGTAGGAGAAACAGTTTTTACCTTCTCTTTAGTCATGTCCAGCAGACCAACAGAGTATCTTTCACAATTCAAATACATTCGAATAGTGTACAGTGCTTTATGAAACTGTCGTTCTATATCTGTTAGCTCTTCAAATACTTTGTTGGCAGACCACAAAAGCATCTATTTACAACAAAAGAGAAGGAGGATAATGTTCAGAACAGTAAGAAAACATAAACATATGAATCCTAGGCATTCCAGAATGAAATTATAAAGCGCATCACTGTTAACAAATTTTAAAAAGAATAGATAGATTGTGTCCTTACTTCTGTAAGATTGCATGTTTATAAAATAGTGGGAATGATAATTCTTTCAGAGGAAAACGAACTATTTTTATTAAAAAATGCTTCTATACCTGGCTTTTTCGTGATTCGATATTGTGGAGATACGACGTATGATTATTTCTTATCATCAAAGACATAAAGTTGAGGTATTTTTTAAATACCTAAAAATGACAAAGATCAAAAATTAAACAAAAGTATTAAATTAAGATATAGAGTCACTCAAACTACTTGTTGAACTAAAAGCTGTGTTATTGTGTGACATTTTACCTCTTCATCCTCTTTTGAGAACTCAGGGGCATTTAATTTGTTGAGTGCCATCACAACAGCAAGCACCTCTTTACCCTGTGTAATTGCCGTTGCCAACATATTGACTGTTTTATAACCAGTTTTTTTGTCCATGAAGTCAGAAAAATGGTTGTTCTGAAAAAAAGGGGGAAAAAATCACAAGTTAAATGCAGAACAATTACCATGTCAAGAGGAAATGATCCTTTTATTTGTTAACTGATGTTTGCAATGCTGTGAGCACTGTTTCACAGTGAAGCAGGTTCATACTTGGAAAAACCCACTATCATTACTTAACTTGATCTTGCAGAGTTATATGTACAAGCTTAACTGAAACATTGGTTATGAAGGTAGCCTATGAAACCAAGTTTTGTGCAGGTCTTTATTATAATGCTGAGGAATTAAAAATATGGGAAATACATGATCTTGTGGCTGCCTGGGAAACTAATCTATATGGTTTGCGTTTTAGAGAATTTACTTCATATCTGTGTTAATATTTATTATTATTGTATTATTTCAGTAAATAAAATTCATTATGCGTTTCCCTCATACAATATTTAAAAGTACCTTCTGTCCTGTATAAAATACTTATGGCAGAGAAGCATCTCCAGCAGGTATTCCCCTAGCTGACCTGTTTCTTATTTCTTCCTCCCATCCCTGTTGCTCCCAGTTCTACAGCTCTTCTGGTGAAAGCAGAGGATATAGGTATAGGATATAGGACCACAGCTGCTTTTGTTGCATCTGTGATCCTGTGGGAGTAAGGCCATGTGACTAATGAATGAGCCACAACTCAATACTCCATATTTACCTTTTCATCCTCAAAACCAAATGCTGAAGAGGGTTTAGCAAAAGCTATTATTTTAATTTTTTTAATGTAAAAATATTGAGAAGCTAGTTCATGCTTCATGTATAACTCATTTATTTAATATATTAACTCATATATTTATTTCCTCATATCCAAGAAATTACTGGTGTTTTCTTCAAAGGCTTTCGTGTTCTCTTTAATTTAATAAAAAAGGGATTTAAACATTTCCAGGGAAATCTGTTTGTCAAGGGTTGTTATGTTTTGTTATGTTATTAAGAAAGTACATCTGAATGAGGTGAGTTATGAGTTAGAGGTTTGAAATCTGTTGAGATGTGCATACTGAGAAATGTCATGGTTCTACTAAGCAACTAAAATAGCCAGACTGTCTTCACAGAGCCTTTTCCATCCCCTCACAATTCACTGCTAACATGTCAGTACTCAAACCTCTCCAGAGATGAGCACTCAGCTCACTGATACTGCATGTCTGTGCCCAGAGCTGCACACACTGCTGCTGTTCATTACTGCCTTAGCTTAGGCAGCTGCCATGTGCCTGGTGCATCCCAAGGTGTCCTCCTTGCTGACAGGCTGGAGAATATTGCAGGATGCCACATCATGGAACTTCAGCTTTCATAGAGTATACATAAAGCTTCTTAAAGAAAACCCCAAACAAATAAGCATTTTCTAGGTTATAAAATCAAGCATGACAATGCTTGGAAGTGCTAGAACTAAAATTGTTTGTTATTTAGATTTTTCCTTTTAATTCTCTTTTGCCCCTCTTCCCTCTAGCAATTGTTTCTAGTATAGGCTGAATTTATGACATATACAACTCTAACAAGAAAGAATTTTTTTATGTCATCAAAATATTAGGGTTTGGGCTTTTTCCTTGTTTTTCATAATCTCTAGGCAGCCCATCTTTTATGTTTGCATTTTATATTTCCTTCTATTTCAGCGAAACAAATTAAATGTCTGGAAGTAACTCTTAAATATTGTATTTATGCCCTGGGCTCTCTTACAGAGAAATGATTCTCTTAAGGACATAAATCATCCCCATAAATCTCATTCAATGTATCAGGCTCCATTTAGGTTCCTGGAAAATGTAGCCACTTTTGAATATATTGTCCTTGTGAAAATGGGACGCTTTCTCTGTTTCCAACAAACTGCCTGAGTTGTTATTTTCTTTTTTTCTCAGAGAAAAGCATAGGGGCATCTCCTGTAACAAACATCCAAAGAAAATGCCAGGCAATCTGTCTCTTCTGTGTGAAAATCAAATACTGTCCTGCAGCCTGCTAAACAAGTATGTAATTACATGGAAATATTTGTTTTTCTGTGGGATCTATTATCTACCGACACAACCATTCTGGACTTGGGTGTGGTTTTGAGCTTCAGGTTTTGCATTTCTAACTGTTTTAGCCATTGAAAACCCAGTAAATTAGACAGGTAACTTGACCCTGTTTTGAAGTCCCTCTGTGTCACTAAGGGCATCTAGTGTTCCTAGTGAGGCCCAGGTTCCTGGGTTTAGGGTACTGTGTTATTCCTGTGAAGGAATAAATAAACACTTCAGACACTCCTGGATTTCTGAACAGTTAAAAGGGATCTGTAGACACCAAATGAGATGAATCAGCAGGATTCAGCTGCTGTGTTTTACTTTGTTTAATAATGCCAGAATGAGGGTAGAAGCAGCAGTGATCAGAAGTGTTCAGAAGAAGCACTTTGGTCATGCAATTTTTGCAAAGGATAGAAACATTTTAATACAAGTCTCTGTTAATAAACAGAAAATTTAGTAATCACAAGCCATCCTGTGCCTAGACAGTGTGAAGCAGAAAGATAAAAATACCTTCTAATGAATTGGCAGCATTCCCACAACACATACAAGAACTCCTGTCTCCCATGATTTGCACATACAAACAAAATGTTGTGCTTGGATTTAGGCTTTTCATTAGTGGATATTTTTTACATAATTTCTAGGAGTTTTGAAGCCTTTATTTCCAAGAGAGTTGTAAAAATATTTTCTCTTGGGAACATAAGCGCTTTCTTTTTTTCCAAAGAAAATCACTCTTCACAATATCTAAGGAATCATGTTCATAGAAGAATCAGCAAGAAATGTGGTCTGCAGTACCAGAGCCAGAAGAACATCTTGGTGCTTCCATGACTACATAAATGTGGACACTTAGTTTACTTGAGCCTGATCTTATGAATCAAACTATCTTTTAGAACAATGTTTTGAACTTTCAGCTCTCAGTTAAATCACAAAATAGACTTTAAAGAGAAATTATGGAAAAGAAATCTGCTGCTAACTCCCCAACTGTAGTACATTTGCAGACATTTCCTACTAGCTCCATTTACTGTTGAGATTCCAAGCCATTTAATTTACAATGATCAGTTCTTTTCAAAGGCCCTGAGGTATGCAATATATCCTGGATTTGCAAAGCCATCACCAGAGTCTAGCTAGCACAACCAGCTAGCACAACCCTTTTGATGGAGGAATGTTTCCTAATATCCAATCTGAACATCTCCGGGCACAACTTGAGTCAGCTTCCTGTTATCCTATTATTTGTTATTTGGGAGAAGAGGCTGACCCCCACCTTTCAGGGATTTGTAGACATTGATAACGCCCCTCTAAGCCTGCTTTTCTCCAGGCTCAACACCCCCAGCTACTTCAGTCACTCCTCACAGGACTTGTGTTCCAGATCCTCCTTCAGCTTGGTAACCCTGCTCTGGAGATGCTCCAGCACCTCAATATATTTCTTGTAATGAGGTGCCCACAACTGGGCACAGGATTCATTGTGTGGCCTCCCCAGTGCTTGGTTCAGGGCAGCAATCTCTGCCCAGTCCTGCTGCCCGCCCTGTTTCTGATCCAAGCCAGATCCCTTGGCCTTCTTGCCCAGCTGGGCACTGCTGGCTCCTGTTCAGCTGCTGCTGATCAGCACCCCCAGGCCCTTTTCTGTCCAGCAGCTATCCAGCCACTGCTCCCTGCATTGCTGTCTGAGGCTGAAGTGACCCAGCACACAAGGGTAAGATTTAATCCTGCAGGTGAGGAGATAGGGCCAAGACAGCAGATGTCTGTCCTCCTCCACCTCTTTCCCCTTGTAAAGCACAGAGGAAGAAGGGGTTACTGTGACCCCTTGCAGTTATGACTATTTTGCTCCTGTTGGGTGAGAGGTTCTGGTTTGGGTAGATGAAATCAGACTGTACATATTTCTTTGCATCATCTCCACGTGTTTCTGGTTTTCTCTCTGGTAGTTTTACAGCATTTTCTTCCTGATTATTTGTTCTTCCACTTATTGTCTTGCATTTGGCTCAAATTTCTCAAAATTTTAACCACTTGGGAGGTGATAATAATGTGTTATAATGCTTCATCTCTTACTTCTACTTAACCTAATTTCAATTTACAAATGTTTTTCTTTCATAATGGTATAATTGGGTATGAATAGAAAATAAAAAACACATAGCATCTACCTGGCCCTTTCTTGGGCCACACTCCAAAAATTACATATTGTCAGGGATGTCAATTTTATTTTAAGATACAACTCACTAGCATTACAGAACAAATTGACTTTGTTATTGTCAAGATGACTAGAGTTATGTCCCTGAAATGCTTGCTTGTTATTTGCCATATGTAATGATTGTTTTGTGACTTCTTGAAATTGGATTTGTATTATATTAATTGCTTTTTCACATGAAACAAGAAAATTAGATAAAAGGGAGCTTTTAATTTTCATTTTTAATGTACTTTTTTCCTTCCGTTTTGGAAACTTTCCTGTTAGAATAGTAAATAAATGAAAGAATTTATTGGGTTTTTTTTCTGGAAGGCACAATGAATAGGAATGCTTTCCTGTATTAAAATATTCTGGTAAATTGACTAAATCTTTTCCATTATAGAAGATTGGAATGTGTTTCAATTTTTTCAGTTAATATTTGTTGAGTATGAGTTTCTGGCAATCTGGTGTTTATTATGAAGATAAGATAAAATGGAGGAGCATACATTAACATTTACAGTGCATACTCTTCCCATGCAAAAAGCTACCTCAGACAGCCTGGAGTCTGGGGACCAGAACATCCACATTAATCTGAAACTCCTGTCAGTTTAGACAGGCCTGGAATTAAAGTCTCTCCCACTCTTGGGTTAAAGTGTAGAGCTGCTATTCTGAAGCTGGATCAGCTTACAAAGGGATGATACCAGTGCTTGCAACTTGAAGATGTGTTTAAGTTGATTTGTACCATGGGTTTCCAGTGGTTAAATTAGGTGCCACAACAATCACTCTTCTGGCTGTTTAATCTCAGTTGGAATCTCCCATGGTCTCTTGTTTCTTCACTTCACTGGGAGTCATGAATTGCAGTGCAAGACCTCTAAAAATGATGACTTGTTTCTTCAGCATCAAAATACTTCAGCTCCTTTATAGATCTAATCCAAAAGCCTTCACTTCTTTTGAAGCATTTCCCACCATTTTTATAATTTTATACTCAACTAAAACAAACAATATTCTTTCTTGAGTTTCCAGTCCTAAATTAAATCCTTGTTTTCAAATACCTTTGAACTGAAAGGAGCAGTGCAATAATTTAAATAGGTTATGGATTAAAGCAAATATATAAAGTCTTTATTATTGGTTCTTACAAGCTGAGAATGTGAGATTTTGAGTCCCCAAAAAATACATACTCCTTGTAGAAGTATTTTTTAGTTCTTAGTTTTATTTGGAAATAATGTCTTGGAGAAAAATGTAAGGCAATTGTATTCTCCTTTATAATGTTGTCTGTGTTATCAGTTACTGTTAAAAGAATATTAATGGACATATCAATTTTTTTGTAGCTTATTATTTTAGTTTGTAATATTTGAGGCACATAATCTGCTATACACTGTGAATAATGTAAGACAAATTATTAGGGGAATGGTCCTGCCTGGCCTTCTGTTTCTCACAACTATGAAATCCTGGATTAAACACTATTAGCTCTCACAGTCAACAGGTCCATAATCTTGTGGGGAGGAGACTGACTACTAAGTTAATTATCAAAGGTCTGTATCTTTCCCTCTGCTTTTCTTTTCTGGAGCATTAGTCAGGATGAGGAGCTTCCTCACGTTTATTGGTACCTTTCCAGTTAGAAGGAGATAATCCCTAAAGAACTGGTTACCAGGCACTAAAAGTGGAGTAATTTATTTTTCAATGATTTATTGCTGTTGTGATCTTTTATTGCATTTACTTTTGTTATAAAGGGGTAATGATTGAAGCATGAAAATGTCACACCATGCCTTTGTCAATGTTGTCATGTACTTAAGACTTAAAAAACACTATTCTGTTTGGATATGGACCGTGTCAACAGTAAAAAGTGGATAGAAATAATATTTTTAAAGTACTAAAGCCAACTAAAGATAATCATTGTGCATTTTGTATTCTGACAAGGCACTAGGGGAAAATTTCTTCTCTGGCTTAACTCTTCCTGTCATTTTTTGTTCCTAATGTGGATAGCAGACAGTCTTGTTTGACTGAAGTGTATATGTAGTTAACTGAAAAATAATTATCCTTTCTAAAATGTGATAAAGACTTCAGTGGCTGCATATTTCTGCTGCCATGGACTAATTATATGCTTTAAACATTAGTGATTCAAGCTGCAGTTCTGGGTTTGCTATGGAGATAAAGATTCTGGTGACATAATAGGGAGATCTGCTTGTGTGAGGAGTGTGAACTTGGACATTGACTTTTTGTACACAAAGAATGAAAATCCTGATGTTTTTGAGATCTTTAGGGCTGTTTTTAAATATCAAACCTTGGTTCCAGAGAAGTCTCTGGGAGTTTTGCAGTTATGTAATAAACTGTCAATATTCCAATGATATTTAGTTACCAAATTAAGATTAATGAGACCCTAGTTGAATTGCATTTTTAAATGTGTGGCTAATGGCATAGACCTCAGTAATCCTAAGAGTGTAAATGGGTGCCTAAGTAAAGATTACCTTAGAATGATTGAATAGTAACAGACACTCAGATGACGTAAATTATTGAGCAAAAAAACACCTAGCAGGATTAGATGGACAGAAAAGTTATCTTACTTAAGCATGTATAAATAATACTTGTCACAAAATTTTGAACAAATCCTATTGCAAACACAGAAATATTTGGTTAGCCCTGCTCTGGGCACCTCTGATATAATGATATTAAGAAGCAGTGCAGTGTCTGATAGGAGGCACATCTTCCCTGATCCTCCTGATCTTTTCTCATGTAATCAGTCTTATGAACTTGGACAGATTATCTTCCAATCTCCCCACGTGGTGGTAAGAGGCAATAAATCAGACACTTCTTGTCAGAA